AGTTTTAATTATATTTATTAAATATTATTTATTTTGTATTATAGAAAGAGGACACATGTACTTTGAGATTCTGCCTCCGCCACTGAATATTGATGATCATCATCATTCATCACTGACCATATCAACAACCAATATAGATCAGAGTATCAGATTCAGATCGGGTTTTCAAACCCATATATGCAATCATGAATTATAAATGTAATATCAAACGGTATTATATCATGGAGCTAGCTAGCCAGTTAGGTATGGCTGCTGCCCTGTTTCTTTAGCCCCAAAGCTTTTACTACTCAAGGCATGGGCGCGCTCTCCGCAACTTGCATGCGGTCATTTATTGCAGCAAGCCATCGTCACGAGTGAGGTGAAATTAAGCTCCAACTAAAGGTGTTAGAGAGATGGTGGTATCGATACATAATTCACGACTCGAGTTATTGGAATCAAACGATTTACGACATGATATCAGAGTGTCTTTGATCAAGTACTGATCATGTATTTAAATTTTCAGGAAACCTCAATATTAACAGTTGGTAGAAGTGAAATCCATGGTCGACATGTGGAAACTTCTGACATTTGAGTTGACCTTCGTTTGGAAGGGCATGTTAGGAAGTAGTACGAGATTAATAGTGAACTAATTTCTCCCAACAATTTGAACTATTGGGATCAAACGATTCATGAACAACGTCGGCTTAGCTCGCACGTGCTTGAGGTTGAATTGCTTCCGAAATATTGTGGCGCGGAGTACTGATTTTAAAGTCTAAAAACGAAGAAATGAGATCGGCGATGGAAACTTGCTCCAAACACGGTGTGAGTTTCTCATGAACTATACAATGTATTGGAATGTAAAATCTCAGTTTTGGAAAACCCTAGAAGGATGGAAAGTCGCGGATCGACATGATTATGAGAGTCGATGTGGATGTGGATGTGGATTGAAGTGATACAATACAATAACCCAGTCAAGTTGCAGAGAGAATGAGCAAAATCCAGTGCCTCTTGTTCCTGGCCAGCTGCTAAACGACAAATGACGCTTTTTGGTGACCTGGATATGGGTGATCTTTTGTCAGCCCAAGCATCTCTGATTCTCCATCACTTTTTTTGCAAGTTGTCACCACCTTTTCCTTTCTTTTCCCAAGTTATTAATTATTAATAAAGTAATATTATACTGTTTTATGTATGTAGGTAGGAGGAGTAGGGACATTAAAACATTTGTTTATTGGAAAAAAGCGTAAGAAGATAAGAAAGGAACAATCTATTGCATTGCACTTTTCGTTTAAAATAATGTCACTTGTCAACAATTATTGTGTGTGGGATGATAGAATTAAGGGATACAGTGCATGTGTACTTGAGTTGGAATGGTAACAACTAGGGATGGCAGGTATAGGTGTCAAAACATAGCCCGACCCGATTAACCCGCCTGATAAACCCGATCCGTAACCCGACCGCAACTCGAATTGACTAAAAGTCAACAACCCATAACCCGCCCGACCCGCAACCCGATTGACCCGCAACCCAACTAACCCGCAACCCGATTAACCCGAACCCGATTGACCCGCAACCCGACTGACCCGCAACCCGATTAACCCGAACCCGATTGACCCAAACCCGACTAACCCGTAACCTAACCGAGTCAACCCGAATTTCATCTAATCCACTTGAATAATTATAAAAATATACAATACATAGTTTTTCAAAATAAAGTTTTTCATTCTAAACTTAAGTAAAATTATTTTTTCATTTCGTATAGGAAATTTAAAAAATAGGAAACTCACTTGATATTACGTATTTTAAGAAAATTAAAAAAATTGAAACATGAAGGTCACTTGAGATCATGACAATATTAATATAATATATAAATTAAAATTTTGGTTAATTTAACTATTCAATAAAATTATCATTTAAATATATAGTAAAGTAAAGTAATGTATTTGGTAATTTGATGTTTTTAAAAAGAAGAGAGAAATTTTGGTGTATTCAAGTTTTTGAGAAGAGAAAGAAGAGGGAAATTTGGTTCTTTGAATTTTTTAGAAAAGAAACAAGTGGGAATTTTAGTGGTTTTGATATGTGGGAAGAGAAAGAAGTGGGAAAATTTGATTTTTTTAATTATGAAAGAGAAATAAGGAGGGAAACTTTTGAGTTTTCAACTTTTTGTAGAAGGAAAGAAGAGGGTAATTTGGTTCTTTCAATTTTATGGAAGAGAAAGAGGAGGGAAAATTGAGTTTTCCTAATGTATGGAAGGAGAAAGAAGGAGGGAAATTTTAGTATTTTTGTGAAAAGAAAGAAGGAAACATATTTGGTGTTTTCAATTTTTTGGTTTTTCATAATTTTAGCTTTTGAAATATGAATCTTCAACTTTTATATGGAGGGCATGACTAGTTAAAATTAATCATATATGCTTTGAAGGCTAATATATATATATATATATGGCAAAGGCTAGCGTACGCCCGGGCATACCTTAGACCACCGTACGCCCGTTGAGTTTTGCTATTTAGACAATGAATTAACCAAA